GCACAAAATTCGAGTCCAATTTTTCTATATTAATTTAAATTTGCTATAATTCAGCGTTTTAAAATAACAAAGTGTAAATCTATTATTGGGGTTGCTCACTATAGAATTTATTAGGAATTTCAGCCTAAAAAAACTGAGCTGGATTTTTTACCAAGTCACTTTTGTTTTTAGTTTTGCTATATTAGTCTAATATTCATAATTCAGCACCACTGTCACCATCTGGAGAGGCCAAAGGGGCAGGCAAAGGTTAATTGAACTTACCCGAACCTGTCCCTCGTAAGCGCTGCCATGTTCTTCAGCGCCAAGAGCTGAAGTTGTGTCCTTAAGGGGTTAAAGTTGTTTTGGTGACTATAGCATCCCTTTAACCCCTTAAGGACACATGACATGTGTGACATGTCATGATTCCCTTTTATTACAGAAGTTTGGTCCTTAAGGGGTTAATTAAGCAGTTTTGGTGTATAGATCATGCCCCTGCAGTCTGACTGCTCAATTCTCTGCCATTTAGAAGTTAAATCTCTTTTGTTTCTGTTTATGCAGCCCTAGCCACACCTCCGACTGTGACTGACACACCTTCCATGAAAAAAAATGGTTTCAATTTGGATCAGATGTTAACTGACTTTGAAGTTTTTATCTACTGCTCTGTAAATTGAAACTTAATTGCACACAGAAAGCTCCTGCATGGTCTAGAAGGCTATTAACAGAGCAGGAGATGAGAGACTCTAAATTAAACAGAATGTGCATTAAATAAAGTGTAAACATAAGATCTCTCTTTATAGTACGTGTCTAGGAAGGCTGTGTAAGTGAGATGAAGGTTTGACTAGGACTGCATAAACAAAGTGATTTAACTCCTAAATGGTAGACAATTGAGGAGTGAGACGGCAGGGGCATGATCTATACATCAAAACTGCTTTGTTAAGCTTAAGTTGTTTTGGTGACTATAGTGTCCCTTTAAATTAGGATTTCTACAGCTCAGTAGCACTTTAATCATTGTATTAGAGTTTATATGCTCTAATGGAATAAATAGCAATATGTGCTTTTCCTTATTCCTTTGTTAATAAGCATGGTTAGCATGTGTCCACATCAAGCATGATAAGGTCAGACCTCATGGACCAGAATGAGCGGTTCCTGATTGGTGGAGTGAGTCTCTTTGAGGTCAGGTAGGACCTGTCTGTAACTACAGCCATCCTGTGCTAGACGTGCAGGTGGAGGAACTTTGAATATTAGTATCTTTTTTATTGTAATATTCTATATGTAATTGTTGCATACTTTTTAAAGTTTTATCTATATAATGCATGTTATAAGAAATATGGTGTCACATGTTGCCTATTTTCTTCCATGAGATGTGAGCCATGTATTTCCTTAAACAACATCCTATTCTGGCAGCATACACCAGTAAAATGTCCATCATTTAAATTAATTCTAAGCTAGCACGCGGAAAGTGTAAATTTAATTTTTTTTAAAAACCCCAAGGTTAATTATCATCAATTAGACTTTGCAGACTTTTATGTAAGCCCAAGTAGGTTGTGACTGGCCTTTTCTTTCCTTTCCTTTTTTTTAACTTTATCTATAGACAGACAGACAGACAGATAGAACGATGTTTGAAAATTGCGCTCTTGGAGGGATGTTGACTGGAAAAGAGCCACTATGCGCACGCCATGTGTACGTCGCATCAAACATTGTAGAGAAACAGATGAGGTCATTATAACATGATCCTTTCTTCTTTGTAAATATGTGCAAATAAGGTGTATCTACAATTCACAAATAACAAGGTTATGTAAGTAGTCCCAACAGAATAAATTCATGGGTACGTTAATGTGCCATAGAATACCAATACAGAAATATAAGGCAGATATCCTGGTCTGTAACTAAAAGTAACCAAAACTATTAAAACTAAATAATAAGGTTAGTAGACAAAACATGTCATAAGGGCAAAACAGCTAGGAGGTTACTAAGTAGAGTCCACCATGTATTCCATGTGCAATAAAAAGAAAAGCAGAGTCCCAAAAGCAATGTTCAGTGGTCATTGTCCAAGGGTCCCAATTAGTCAAGAGAGAAGATCTAAGGAGAACAGTCCAATATAACAGCAATACATAGAATGGTCTGTAATTACCTGCAGAGCTCTCGGCAATTAAAGGTAGAAAGTAGATTTGTGCAAAGAGAGAAGATTCTGCTTGACCGAACCGAATATCCCAAAAGTAGAAACATTTACAGGGCACCTGAAATTCCGCCACATGTTAATTCATTAGGCAGCATTTATGAGCCGAGATTCCAATTTGGAAACAAAATCAGAATCACAAAAAAAGGCACAAAAAATTGGCCAATCAGTTTGCTGCAAAATATGTACATAATGTAAAATAAATCAATTAGTTTACAGTACACTGATAGGAGAATTTTGCCACCGTTTGGTTCACAGATTAAGTGAGAAAAAAATAACCAAATAGAGGGAAAAAATAATCAATATTTCTATATTATATATTTATTCAATTAAATATTTTTTTACTGCTCCTCCTTTCTTCCCTGTATTGGTTACCTCTAACTTGATACGTGAATCCATCAATCATCTCTTTTTTGATGGCTGGAATCCAGAATTACCAGCATTGGCATTTCCACTGGTCCTGGTAATTCAGACCTCCAAGTCTAGTGGATGATGTTACAGACTCCAAAATCATGATCTGCAGAAGTGCTGTAAACAGACGTGATGTCACATGTACCACCTGACAATTTTAGTCCCCCTATAGCAGCATCAGCTCCCACCATATACTCTTGCAAGTCAGTTATTCCCTTTTAGCATTTATTGGATAAAAAAAAGATGAATATGGCACTTTGGTAATATGGCATGCAAACACTGTACCTGTATTAAAATAAGCTCACAATTAAAACACATCATTAGCTACTTTAGCTAGTTAAAGGATCACTATAGGGTCAGGAACACAAACATGTATTCCTGACCCTATAGTGTTAAACCCACCATTTAGGTGGTTTGTTCCACCTTAAACCCCTTAAAAGTTAATAAAACGCATCTTATTTCCAGCGCGGCGTGTGTCCATCTGTGCTAGCTCCGTCCCCTTGGTGACATCATCAAAATTGCCGATTTCTAGCCCATGGGGAAAGCATTGGATTGGATAAAATTGACAAGGGGACGAGGCCAAACACCGTTTTGGCCAATTAACACCTCCTTATAGAGATGCATTGAATCAATGCATCTCTATGAGGAAAATTCTGCGTCCCCATGCAGGGCGTGGAGACGCTGAACAGCAGTGCTACCAACTGTGCAGCACTGCCCTAGGAAGCATCTCCAATGGCCATCTGAGGAGTGGGCACATGGAGGCGTGGCCCTATGGGTAATGTAAACACTGCCTTTTATGATCCTCCCCACACTGTCTCCCTCCTACTCTGTTAAAGTCCCCTACCCTACCACAGCCCCCCTACCCTGCCACAGCCACCCCTTATCCTTCCACAGCCCCCCATCCTGCCACAGCCCCCATCCTGCCACAGCCCCTCTACCCTGCCACAGCCCCCCTAACCCTGCCACCCTGCCACAGCCCCCCTAACCCTGTCACAGTCCCCCTAACCCTGTCACAGCCCCCCTAACCCTGTCACATCCCCCCAAATCCTGTCACTTAACCCTGGTCCTAACCCGTCACACCCCTCACACTGTCACTGTTCCTCCTACCCCCACGGCCCCCTCAACCCTGTCACAGCCCTAACCCTCTCCTAGTCCCCCCCAACCTGGGTCACAGTCCTCCAATCCTTGCTGCAGCCCCTCAACCCTGCCACAGCTCCTCTAACTGTCACTGCCTCAACCCAAGGTCACACCTCTCATCCTGTCACTGCTCCTCCTACCCCTGCCACCACCAACCCGCAGCCCCCTAACCCTCTCCAGCCCCCCTACCCTGTAACAGCCTCCCTACCCTGTCACAGTCCCCTAAACCTGCCACAATCCCCCTACCCTGTCATGGTCCCTCTACCCTGTCACAGCCCCCTAAACCTGCCACAGTCCCCCATAATGTTCTGGTGACTATAGTGTCCCTTTAATATACGCCTCGGTAATGTTTATCTAAAAAAAATTATTACCTCAAGCAGTATGGGTGAAAGCAGACTACCCTGTCACAGCCCCCATCAACCATGTCACAGCCCCCCCTACCCTGTCACAGCTTCATCCACCCTTATACAGCCCCATCCACCCTGTCACAGCCCCCCACACACCATGTCAACAGCCTCACAGCCACTCCCACTCTGTCATCCCACACACGCTGCCACAGCTTCCTCCATCCTGTTACAGTTCCCCTTCACTGTGTCACAGCCCTCCCGTCACATCCTGTCACAGCCCCCTGGACACACTGTCACCCCTCCACACATATACCCTGTCACAGTCTCCTACATACACACCTGGTCACCTCCCCCACACACACACCCTGACACCTGCCAAATACACACTGTTGTGGAAATAAGGTCTGCACATATTTCCTAGTTAGTGAAAATGTCTATTTACTCATTCCACGATATATCATAAAGCTATACACACGTGCTCTAATCAAGATGGCTGCTAGAAGCTTCTAACCCCTTCCTCCCCCTGCCCCTTTAAACACCGACTAACTACCTCGTGCAGCAAGATGGCGCCGGGAAACCGTGGGAGACCCTCATGGACCTGGTGACATGAAATATTGACATATTTTTAGCTAGTAAAATGTCTATTTACTTCAATTAGTTATACTTAATATTATTCAATAAATTACTAAACTGACCACTAGATGTCACTCAGGAGTACCCCACCCATCGACCAAACACTCTAATTTTCAAGATGGCGCTGGAATCCGGGGGGAGAACTCCATGACGACAGTAATGACATAAGAAGGCACACCCTGTAGGACGTGCTTTGAATAAAACACTTAACACTTAACCAATTATTGATGTATTATTCCATGTTATCTCTGACAATGCTTATGATATAATTTTGCTTTAAAAGGGACCTGCCGTCCCCTCTGAATAAACTTTCCTCAAGTTATTCAACAACCTAGAACCTGTGTCTGGTGTGAATTACTTCAGGGAGCGTGCACGCATTGTTTCATTGATTTGGCCAGGGGCAGATACACAAAGAAATAATCAATACTTTAATTGATTTTTCCATTTCAATTGGCGCCCATAACGTGGGGCCCCCGGATTTGCCGGTTCGGAGGGCCGGATACCAAGGACCGGAGCGGACCCCCAGAAAATGGGACAAGCGGAGCCTGATCACCTCCATAATACAGCCGTTGCCTGTGTTATTCTCCTGTTTTGTGTCGGTCTGTCTCCGAGTCCACTTCCGTCTTCCAGAAGGCTACTAGAGACAGGTATTTAGCTCATCCGGGGTACCCTTTTAAAGTGAACCTGTCGATTGTCTATCTGCCTCCTGTATTTGTTTGAATGTGTGTGACGGCCGGAGTGTGTGTTTTCCCCCTTTTTAAAAGACAATAGCTTGACTGCCTAGCGGGCAGGGAACGCATTACAGCCGGTGGGGCTGGGTTTTATATGTTAGCTTGACTGCCTAGCGGGCAGGGAACGCATTTTATATGTTAGCTTGACTGCCTAGCGGGCAGGGAACGCATTACAGCCGGTGGGGCTGGGTTTTATATGTTAGCTTGACTGCCTAGCGGTCAGGGAACGCATTTAATATGTTAGCTTGGCTGCCTAGCGGGCAGGGAACGCATTTTATATGTTAGCTTGACTGCCTAGCGGGCAGGGAACGCATTACAGCCGGTGGGGCTGGGATTTTAAGTTTGCTTGACTGCCTAGCGGGCAGGGAACGCATTACAGCCGGTGGGGCTGGGATTTTGTTTGTTTATTACTGTGCTCCCATTAGTACCTGTGTTATACTGGGACCAGCCTGGTGGGTGAAGGCTGAGGATTGCTATACTTCGATTATTTGGCACCGGTGTCATTAACATGTACATGGCTATTTTACTCTCTGTCATTCTGTGGTTCTTTGTTTAATTGTTGTTACAGTGTGGGTACCCTTGGTGTGTGTGTGTGTGTATGTATATAGTGTGGCTAGTTCTGGATTCTGGGGTTTACACTCATCTCTATGTTTGTGATTTTTGCAAATGTCTTCTTGTTAGTGTAACCACTTTCATCTTTTCATTTGTCCTTTATCTCTCCTGTGTTTGTTGCCCAGAGCTGTGTTAGTCACCCATGCTCGCCCCCTCCGGTCTGTGGCCACCACCCCCGGGTGCACAGACCATCGTGACTAGTCTACGTTTTGGGAAGACGCACGGGTCCACCGTGGCAGTCGAGCACTGTAGACTTTCCTACTTCTTCTTCCCTCTCACTTGGTCTCCTTTACTTGGCAGACCTCGCTTGGTCAAAAAGGGGCAAGCACATACTAGACCAGCTAAGGGGTATTTGGCTTGTGATATTGTTAAAGAGAGGGCAGGGGAAGAAGCTATGCTGAAAATGAAAAAGTTAGCAAAGATTTCTGGTTTCAAACCGTATAAATCTCTGTCCTTCTGTCTTGTTACTTTACGGAGCTCACATGGTTAATCTTCATGCCTGCAGTTTCTCTCTCTCTCCCCTTTTTTGCACTGTCACACTTTCTCCCACCCCTACTCCCCGCTTGCCTACATTCCTGCATTTCGGTGCTACTGATAAGAGTTAGAGACGGGATTTTTGCTGGAGAATATTCTAATTGTGTAGTATTGTGTACATTGTTCCATACATAGACGTTGTCAGGCAGGTTATGGAGCTATAATTGTGTAATAATATTATTATTGTTGCCATTTGCATGGCGCCAACAGATTCCGTAGTGCTATATATATTTATAAATTATGTTTTGTGATAAGGTACTGAGGATTGTGGGAGTGACGAGCTCACAAGATTGCATTCAGTGTTGAATACGGGATTTAGGAAGGTGTAGCCTGTTAACACTGATAGAGGGAATATGCGATGTTGTCATGTCTGTATAAGAGGAGGAAAGTGATTAATGGTTTGAGGATGATAAGGGAAATTGGTTGAATTCCGTGAGTTTATCTTGCTTCATGTTAAAGTACATTTTTCAATGGATAGCTTTATGGGCTGTTAAATGCATAATGTTCTCAACTGTCTTATTTAACCTGCCAGGTCTGTTCATAGTTTAATATTTCATTTTGCAGAACGGAATGTTGCTTCTCTGACTTATTTTATTAGTTATAATATGGTGTATTGTTGAAAGTACGTCAGCCACCACCCTAAAGATGGCGCCTAGTACAGAAGGAGGTTGACCCTGCCAGTCCTGTGACCTATCTACAGTCACGGTTGCTTCTAAAGTAACGTCACTTCCGCCCTTACCATGCCCACACCTCCTGTCTTCCTTTCCCTCACATATCATGGACTTCACTTCCTCCCTTGCTGTCATTTCCTTCCCCGCCCCTGTCATGGCTGCCTCCATCATGAGGCCTACCCCTATTATGCTCGTCCTATGTAGAGACGTGTTGTTTTCCTTACGCTCTACATATTATAAACTGACACGTTATATTAACTAAAACAATCATGCCATTTGTTTCCCTGTATCAGAGATGTGTCCGTGATATTTAAAAAAAAAAAAAAAAAAAAAAAGGAGGTTGCTAAAGAGTCATTTGCACCTGTGGTGTGACCTACAAATGAGTTCTGTAGGGCACGAATATAAGAGCATTACAGCTAATTATCCTGATGATTATTCATTAATGCCTGTGTCTTGCAGCAAGGGATATTGCAAAATAATGCAAGTTATTTTAAACATTGTATCTTTACTTAATAGAATCTTGCTAGTTACAAATCGTATGTTTACAGTAACATCCTTTACGTTAAATGACATTCCTCCGCCTCCCTGTCCCCCGCCACCTTTACCTATGCTTGCCTCTCGTCCCCTCTCCACCTCGACTGACCCCTCCCCAGTGTTACCCACTCACCCGTCTCCATCCGCTGCCCCGCTCTCTGCCCTATCGACCTTACTCACCCCACCGCCCCAGATCCTCCAGACCCTTGTCCTCCCGCTGATCCCGCTTCCCTTATGCCTCCGGACCTCTCTTCTCTTCTTTCCATCCTCTCGTCCTCTACTCAACTCACTGCCCCCACACCTCCCCTCCTTCCGTTGATCTTGCACCATTAATAGCTGCCCTTTCTGCCTCGCTCCATCCTCCTGCAACTCTCCCAGGCACCCCTCCCATCCTCCAGGCTGATCCTCCCGCTATCCACACACTGTCACCTCCCCCCGATATCCCGGTCCCCTCTACCTCGTTGCCTCCTCCCCCCTCGGCTGATTTGCCGTCCCTAATCTCTGCCCTTACCGCCCTGACCCAGCTCCCCGTTCCCACCCCTCCAACCCCTTCTCCAGTGGTACCCCCCTCCCGATATCCCGGTCCCCTCTACCTCGTTGCCTCCTCCCCTCTCGGCTGATTTGCCGTCCCTAATCTCTGCCCTTACCGCCCTGACCCAGGCCCACGTTCCCACCCCTCCAACCCCTTCTCCAGTGGTACCCCCTCCCGATATCCCGGTCCCCTTTACCTCGTTGCCTCCTCCCCTCCCGACTGATTTGCCGTCCCAACCCTCTACCCACGCTGTTGCGACCCAGCCCCCTGTTCCCATCCCTCCGACCCCTCCCCCGGTGACCCCTGACTCAACCATGGCCAATGACCTGTCTAGCTCGATATCCGCCCTCTTCTCTGCTGTTACCTCCCTGGTTAATTCCGCGATTCCTGCCCTGCCTCCCACTGATTTACCACCTCCTCCCTCTGATCCTCCAACCCCTTCTCCGCCCCCGGCTAACGTCCCCGAGCCTTCCGATCCAATCTCTGCCCTTGCTCACGTCCTTAATACTCACCTATCACGCCCATCCCAGCCGGCCCCCTGCTTTAGAGGCCTGTGCATACCCTCCAGCTCATGCTGATGGGTTTGACACGGGTGGTTTCCAAGATATTCAGCCCCTACCTCGACAAAGCCGCCTTGCCCGTGCTCCTATGCAGTCCAGCCACCCTCCCACTTCTACCCGCCGGTACCAAGGACCCGACCAGGCCCATTTAGATTTACTGCAATAGGTTACCGGCAAGCCTGTGTCAGCAACCCCTGCCATGACCCCTCCTTTTTGTCAGACACCGATGTCTCCTGTGTTGGGGTGGATGGTACACCCCGCAGTAGCCCCTTCCCTACACTCCTGCATGTTGGTTCACACATACTCTCACGTTTTGTTGTTTCTTCTACTTGTCCCATTAACCTCTTGGGTGCTGATGTTCTTTCTCGGGTCCAGGGTCCAGTTAACTACACCCTTATCACAGACAGACACCACTGTACTCTGCTCACTCCCCATCTTGTTGAACCTAACTGACAATACAGGGAGTGCACGGGTCACACACACCCCCAGTGCTCTGGATCGTATCCCCCAAGAACTTTGGTCCACCAGCCCGGATGATATTGGACGCTTACATGTACCCCCCCGTCCTGGTCCAGCTCCTGCCTGGAGCACTTCCTCCTCGTCGACCTCAGTATCCTCTGAAGCCAGCACAAGCTGAAGCCATCACCAAACAAGTTGAGTCTCTGCTTGCCAAAGGTGCCCTCACCAAGTGCACATCTCCATGCAACACCCCACTTTTCCCTGTTAAAAAGCGAACTGTTAAGGGCCAACCCGACCAGTACCGCATGGTACAGGACCTCCGTGCTGTTAATGAAGTAACCATAAAGGAAACTGCTATTGTTCCAAACCCCCATACCCTTTTGTCCCAGGTGCCACCCAATTCAACAATTTTTTTTTTCTGTAGTGGATCTAGCTAATGCCTTTTTCAGTGTCCCCCTTGACCCTTCCTGCCGTTTTCTCTTCGCCTTCACACATGAAGGACAACAATATACCTGGACTGTTATGCCTCAGGGAGCTCAGAACTCTCCCACACAGTTTGCTCATGCCATGTCTCTAGTTTTGGATCCCTGGCAGAAATCTAATCTGGATGTTATTCTACTTCAATATGTTGATGACCTCATTCTCAGTGCTCCTAATTTGCTTATTGCAGAGCGTGACTCAGAAGATCTCCTATGTTTCCTCGCTGCTGCAGGGTGCAAGGCCTCAAAATCAAAGCTACAATGGTGCCGGCCCTCTGTGGTCTTCTTGGGACATTGCCTTTCCCATGGCACCAAACATCTAACCTCACAACGGGTGCAAGCTATCCAGCAACTCCCATTACCTGCAACTCATCACTCTCTTCATGCTTTCTTGGGACTCATCACATACTGCGGGTCCTGGATACCTGAAGCATCCAAACTCATGCAGCCACTCTATGATGCCCTCAGGAGTGAGCCCTTTCACCTCACTGAAGAAACTATTAACTGTTTCCATACTCTGAAAAGAGCTATTGCTTCTGCACCTGCTTTGGGCCTACCCAACTACCAACTCTCTTTCAATTTGTTTGTCTCACAGAAATCAGGACATGCTTCCGGAGTCCTTACTCAGAAACATGGGTCCAGACAACGGCCTATTGGCTATTTTTCCTGCATGCTTGACCCTGTTGCAAGGGGCAGCCCCTCTTGCCTCCGTGCTGTGTTTGCCGCCAGTGCCCTCTTGGACAAGACTAATGACTTTGTTCTTGGCCATCACCTCACAGTGTTGGCCCCTCATGACATTACTGCTATCCTGCAACAAGTTCAACCCAAGCACCTTTCCTCCCAACGCCACCTCCGCCTGCAAACCTCCTTGCTTTTACCTGACAATGTGAAACTCCAGAGATGCCTTACCCTGAATCCAGCCACTCTTCTGCCACTTCCCAAGGGGGGAATTGTGTACCACTGGTATAGCCTGGATATCAACCCAGAAGTTCTAGCAGATCTGCAACTATCTGCACTTGCACCTCCAGAAGTTCTAGCAGATCTGCAACTACCTGCACTTGCACCTCCACATGATGAA